TAAATGAGTGTGATGCATAGATCTCTCAGAAAGTAATAAGATCAATATGCCTTCGGTTAATATCATGAAATAAACTTTATCAACTTACGTATTTTCTAAGACCCGTGAACAGACAATATAATAATAGGACACATGGGGAATCAAGAACATAAGCGCCCCTAGTACTTTTATGAATAGAGTCATTTATGAAAGTTGCGTGCTTGCTCGTTTCATTGTATCATATCAATCATGCCAAAAGGAAAGAAATGATAGCCTTAACATACCTTTGTCATTTACTTAACCACACAACGTCGGTTCAGACCGTTAGTACTTCAATCTAAAACAAACAATAAGGGACCATTGTTAAGGTTACAGAAGCTAGAACTCAACACAAATGAGAGACTAGCTCGTCTATGAAATTTTGGACAACACCTCCCCTTATTCTTTTCACTTCCCTCAAATCAAACCACACAAAAAACAATATATAAATAAGCTCCTTCTCGAGTAACCCAACACAATTTCAATTTAGAATATGCTCGGCACAAACCAATAATGGCACGGCAGCAATAACAACTAACGAGCATTAAACTTGGTTTTACAATATCAACAACACTTCTCCAAGCCTTCTCTGCTTCCAAACACATCAACCACAGTAGCAATAGTATTCTTACATTATTTCTACTGATTTCCAACCATAGAACATCAAGAATTCAACTCCAAAATAGTCCAACAACTACAATACTTCAACATGAAGTTCAACCTACTTCACAAGTTCCATTTATCAAGTCAACTAGATATACATAGATAATCTTAAATACATATAGAAAAAGTTAAACCTTACCTTGGCAGCAAGAATATTTGTCCAACTAAGCTTTACTTCAAGCTCACACAAGCTCTTTACCCCAAACAACAAAGTAGAGAGACAACTAGGTGATCTTGATCTTCCAAGAGAGAGAAGTCACTTTACCAACTTGTGGATTTGATCTTGAACCCTAGGATAACGTTGAGAGAGATCTTGGGATGACATTTTGCAGCTCCTTCACGTTATAATATAGAGAGAGGGATTCTAAATGGTTCTCTCAGTGATATATATATGGCCCTACTAATGGGCTTGGGCAGATGGGTAGTGCTGCCCATCTCTATCATTTTTCTTTCCCTTTTAATTTGATCCACAAACTCTAAGTAGGTGATACACATACTTGTCACCTCCTTAATCAAGCAGGTGATACATGTTGGTCTTTTTCTATTTTTAAACATGTGTCTCATCCTCGTTAAATAATTTAGACATGTATCGAGTAGCTCAAGCAAGTAGGATGAAAAGTAAGTTGGTGAAGCAGGCATGTCGGGTAAGCAAGCAGCTCATTTTTATTTGTCCAAATCTCCTTTCTTACGTTTAAGTGCATTCCTTAACCTAATCATGTATATGTTGAACGAAAATACGGGATGTAACATCATTAAATTACTTTATATACTTTCAAAGAAGATCTCATCTCCGAGCTTACATCAATTGACTTACGATGTACTTTTGCGTATGAAAACATGGGGTGTAACACCAAGAAACATACTCAAAAATATCCTTCTTCATCCTCTGTGACCAATAGTGCTGCCTCAAATCACGGTAGTTCTTCACGACACCCAGATAAATGGAATACCTAAAACTATAGGCCTCCTCTAGACCTCTAGAATCAACTCTCGTAACCCATCCACATTCAGAACACAAATCCGACCCTGAAGCCTCAATACCCCATCATCTACAATAGTAACCTCCTTAGCATCATCGTGTTGCATCATGTCCCTTAGGACAAGCAAGTGGGGATCATCATATTGACGCATCTTGATGCACTCAAACAAGGACAACCGTGATACAACACAAGCGAGAACCCTGCTATGCTCCAAAATCTCCAACCTCACGAACCTGTTGGCCAAGGCCTGAACATCCAAAGCTAAAAATCTCTCCCTAACTAGAATAAAAGTAAGATTACCCATGTTCTCAGCCTTCCTACTCAAAGCGTCGACCACCATATTGGCCTTTCCCGGATGATAAAGAATGGTGATATGATAGTCCTTTAGTAGCTCTAACCACCTCTGTTGCCTCAAGTTCAGATCCTTTTTCTTGAATAAGTGCTGGAGAATCCTGTGATCTATGAACACCTCACAAGACATGCCATAAAGATAGTGCCACCAAATCTTGAGCGGTGAACAATGGTTGCTAACTCCAAATCGTGCACTAGGTAATTCTTCTCATAGGGCTTCAACTGTCATGAAGAATAAGCAATCACTCACCCCTCCTACATCAACATGCACCCAATGTCAATCCGTGAAGCATCACAATAGACTGTATAAGAACCTGATCATGAGGACAAAACTAGAATTAGAACTATAGTCAAGGCAGTCTTGAGCTTCTCAAAGCTCTCCTCACACTCATCAGAGCACCTGAATGAGGCACCCTTCTGCGTCAATCTAGTTAATGAGGTTGCTATAGATGAAAACCCTTCAACAAAATGGGATAATACCTAGCCAACCTAAGAAAACTCTGAATCTCTGTAGCAGTATACAGTCTGGGCCAACTCTGAACCGCCTCAATCTTCTTTGGTCATCTAAAGGAAGGGCACGTGGAACTCAAGATGGAGATGGTCATCGAACGCAGCTATTTCGCTTGTCACCGGAAGGGAATGTTCATAAAGGTGTATTAAATGCTTTGCGTCTGGTAGCATTTAATAGGGGATATTTTGCAGCATTAAGAACGGCAGCCTGTTATAGGGAATTTGGCATTTATTTTCACCGTTACACCTTCATCAACGGCCCTCATAATTGACATTAAAGGAGGGCACGATCCTAGGACCTCCTTCCCTAGACACAGCTATAAATAAAAAGCTTAGTTATCACTGTAAAGGACACGAATTTTCTGGCTAACTTACACTATATTCTATACAAAGCTTAACATAATTTTACTTTCTTGCTTTTGATCTCATGATTGTTGTTCCCGGAAATCTTGTTCCCGGATTCGTCAACCTGCGTATTTCATTTACATTTTAAGACCAAGTATCGTGTATTTCTTCAATTATTTTATTATTTCAGGATTAAATTAATTCGCTTGTCTAAAAACTATGTATAAATTCAATTATATTGTTTTACGAATAAACAACCAGTTAAATTCATTTAACTCGAAGGACCAAAAGAGCAGAGATTAAAAGCATAGCCTTAAAACTCAAACTTTTTGTCTACTACATCTTTTTATATGGAGTAAGGAAAAATTTTATTTTGGGTGAGACTCACCCAACAATAGTTGTATGAGGCTACCTTCTACATTTAACAAGTGTGATTGTGGGCCCATTTAGTGTCATAGACTAATAGATAAAGAAAAAAGGTAAATTAATGGAATGTGGGCCACAACTAAAGGATTAGATATAAATAAAAATAAAAGTAAATTGTACTATGTACTCCTAGGTAAAAGCCACGGTCTCCATTTGAATTGAATTGAAGAGTTTGAGCCTTTCGTTTTTTCCACTTGAAACAACTCCCAAAACAAAAAAAATCCTTAAACACTATTCCTCATGGAGTCATGGGTATTAATCTAAAAATCATTCTGAATTACTTAGTTATTCAAATAAGCTACAGTAATAATTATTTGACTTTACTTTGTAACTAAAATGCTTAACTAGAGCAAAAATTTGATATAATTAAGAAAATAATTGTTGATTTCCAAGTATACATCCAAGTTCTTAGCACGCCTTCAATTTCAAGTTGCGAAATATGTTTTGGTAACAACACATATACTAGCTCGGTTATAATTATCTCTTTGAATTGTAATTATGCTAGTTTACCCAAAATATTATTTTTATGTAAACTGAATTTCATTAAAGAACGGAACAATCTTAGAATAATTTATTCAGGCACATGGCCTTAAGGGAAATATGTATGAAAATTCGAATTGCGAAAACTAAAAACTAAAATTTATTAAGAAAACCCAAAAGGAAACAATAAACAAATAGAGAAGCAATTAGTGTATACCAATTTCGACCCTTTATAATCAATAGAAATGGCTGGCTTTAGCCTTCACGAGTTTTACATGGAGGAAATATTTTAATGAGGGTAAAAAATTAAATTATTTGGGCAAATCTCAAATGCTTTTAAGCAAAAAAGTAATAAGTTGAAATAACCAAATTATAAATTTTAGCTTGTTTTAAGTTATTTTAGCTTAAAAACACTTGACTCAAAATTACTTTTTAAGTTTATCAAATACTAAAATAAGCCATAAAGTGCTTTAAGTTGAATTGATAAGCTTTTAAGTCAATTCAAATATCCTCTTAGTGATAAAAATTTATATTAATCTTATTTTAATTTTATAGTAAACAATATTTTGATAATGACAGGTTAAACATGGTAGTAAATGAATCAATATGCATAAGTACTCAATGCTAGTGACCACATTTTTGTATTTCTGTACCAAATGAGGAGAATTTTATTAACCAATTATGTATATTATATTTTATATTTATATCAACAAACAACTTCTAAAGGCTCATTTTTAAAGCGTTGGTAACTTAAGATGATTTTGAAAAGATACAAACTTTTAGAATGAAAACGAAGAAGACATATATATACAAAAATATAAATATTACGTTTGGTGGTGAGCAAATTATGGTAATTAAAGAGGGAAATGGCTTTCACGTTTTCCTTCCATTTCTCTAGTACAATATCTATTTAGCTACATGTTTATGGAATATATGAGTGGGAGTGGGATCCACATCAACAACAAAATTACTTTTTCTTCTTTGTGTATTCAAATTAAACCAATATCAAAAAATGGGCCCCACAACTATACTTGTCAAATGAAGAAGGTGGCCTCATACAACTATTGTTGGGTAAGTGTCACCCAAAATAAAATTTCTCATGGAGTAAGCAATTTCTATAGAACACGTAAGAGTGTATTGGTGACATCAAATAATCAGTGAAACCTAGGGTAGTAAATTGTTTTCCTCTTTAGGAAAAGTCATTCAAAAGGAGAGTTGGTACCTTTTTTGAAAATCTTTTGCTAAAGTACTTGGACTTTCCTTTTGGTGTTTGAAATTTTTTTGAAGGGGAGAATCACAAAAGTAGAAGTTCAAAAATCTTATCAGCCATTCAATATTTTTGTCAAAGTTGTCCGTTTCATATTCCAGATTCCAAGAAATAAAAGGTGGGGCCCTAACATTTATCTTTCAGACATCCAAGCTGTCTTCCTCAAAACTTCAGGCTACCATCACATGTGCTTTTCTCTATAGTCCACACTCACAGTGTCTGCACTTTACTGTACACAACAATTCACACTGAAACCAGAAGAAGCAAATTCTAAAGTGACAATTTAAGATCCCAAAGCTACGGTTGCCCCCATTTCTTTCTATTTCTTCACATTGCATTACAACAATTACCAGATAACAAGAAAGCTACGGTTGGAGTCGCAATCAAATGTTCACTGGATTACCAAATTATTTCTGTCTCTTTTTCTTGAGTTTGCTTCTCTGTTTGATAACAATTTGTTTAGCGGGAGACCCTTATATATATTATGACTGGACAGTTTCCTACATCACAGCTTCTCCTCTTGGAGTTAAACAGCAGGTTCTTTCTTTGATCTTGATTCTACCCATATGTTGTTTCTGCTTGAAAGTCAGATCTTTAATATTTAGTTTTGTTGCTCTGTTCCCGTCGTTTTTACGCATAATGCTTAAATTCATTCTTGGGGTGGAGGGGACTTGAAATGTTTCCTTCAATTAGAGTGCAAATCCCAGCTTTAACATGTATAGAACTTTCACTATTTCAAGCCAGCGTCTTCTATGTAAAAAATTGATGGGTTAAATGGGAAATTTTTACCCTCTAATCGAAGGCTTTGGTTGCATGGTAACTTGGGTTCTGCTGAACAGCTGCAAATAGTGTATTTTGCAAGACTAAAATGTACTGATATGTTTATACGGATGTTCATTTGGCCATAAAGGGCAACATAATAGTGTGTGAAATATTTAGCTTAAAGTTCCTGCCCATTCTCTGATAACAGCGGACGAGACAAGATTTTCAGTAAGGGATTCAGAAAATAAAAAGAGTAACACGCGAAGAAGCTAGGGGGATTCATCATCTAATATATAGACAAAAAAATTTGACCTTTATCCATAGTGTAAGGAGTGCATAACAAAATTTGATCTTATATATAGAGGCAGATCCATGATTTAAACTTTATGGGTTCAACATTTAAGGTTCTTAACATTAAACTTATTATATTTTTAAAATTACAGGTTCAGACCTGCTACTCGTTGCAATTTTAATGAATTTTTATATGTAAATTTATATTCCGCGTTGAAAGTATTGGGTTCATGCTATAAGGCTGCATCTGCCTTTGCATATATAAGCAATGTAATTTTCTGGCGAAGGGGTTCGGTTGAACCTCTTACAACCTCCTAGCTCCGCCCATGCGTTTGAAGGGCCGTCTTCAACTTCAGGACTGATTTGCACAATTTCATACTTTGAAGTCCTTAAAGCTGTTGAGTTGGAACTATACCTATGACCTATGACTTTTACTTCGTATTGTTTATCAGCTCGATTACTATATTAAATATGCCTTAATGCTAGTTGGGAATTTTGGGGTTGGAAGAATTGGAAACGAATTTTCCTGCCGCTTGACTTCGAAGAACATCCTAGGGGTTCTTTGGGGGATCAGTTACCAGTTACTCCTTCCTGAAATTTCTCTGCAAAGACCTATGTTTCTATTCTTTATCAATATCTAACTCCAATTTATATGTGCTGCTATAGTAGCATGTGCAAATCTTTTTTTCTTACCATTTTTGACTGTCATGAGCGGTGACACGTTGTAAGGAACTGTTTGGCTGATCCGCAAGTACTAGTTTTATTTTCCAGGTCTGTCTAGTTTCCAACATGTTGTCTCAACAATCGATGGCTTGAAGACTAAATATGGGATTGTAGTGGATGTGTTTCAACATCTCATATCTTGCTTCAAATTACTATGTCAATCATGTTCAAAACAACTAGGCTCAGAACACTTTGGTTGACCTCTTTTGCCCCACTCTTCATAACCTGTCTTATACTCTGGTCCTTCCCTTGTCTGATTCCTTATTCTTGGACACAGTTATGAAATCATCATTAAATCTTTTTCTTTAGGAGTATTGACTACACCACATTTCAAGAATCATCTTTACTCTTCAAGTAACAACATTATTGGTGATATATGAAGATTTATATCTTTTCAGGTGATTGGAATAAACGGTCAATTTCCAGGACCCATTCTCAATGTCACTACGAACTGGAATGTGGTTGTCAATGTCAAAAATGATCTTGATGAACCTATGCTTCTTACATGGTAAATCATAAAATCCACTATGATAAATTTATAGGGATGCACAAGGCTAAATGCTGTGATGAACATAAATATGGTAATTAAGTGCAGGAATGGCATCCAGCAGAGAAAGGATTCATGGCAAGATGGTGTATCTGGCACGAATTGTCCCATTCCTGCTGGGTGGAATTGGACATATGAGTTTCAAGTTAAAGACCAGATTGGCAGTTTCTTTTATTTCCCTTCCCTAAGTTTCCAGAGAGCTGCTGGTGGATATGGAGGGATCACTATAAACAACAGAAAGATCATTTCTCTGCCATTTGCAACACCAGATGGGGACATCACACTCTTTATTAGTGACTGGTTTATAAAAAGTCATAAGGTTAGTTGCAAACTTTAACTGGTCAGCCCGTTTTTTGTTGAAAGTAGATCCTTGAAAATTTAGTGGCTCACTATAAATGCTTTGGGGCATTAGGAACTCAGACGAGACATTGAAAACGGAATTGGCCTTGGAGCTCCTGACAGTATACTATTCAATGGGCTAGGTCCTTACCGTTACGATAATGCGCTTGTATCAGGCGGTATAGCCTACCTGTCAGTGAATGTAGAACCAGGTAATTATATTCTTCTTTCTCGTTGGGGTTTTATCTGTACGGTTCCAGTACATTGCCAAATTTTAATACCTTTTTCATCATTCAATGCCATTGCATGGTATTTTTGCTTCAAGCTTAAACAAGTATTATGATGGAGGATTATTTGAAGTGCATTATAAAGGTTGAACTCTCAGATGCTACTGTCATTCTCGTTACTGGAGCTTTATGGCTTTTGTTAGATTACTAAACAAAAAGATGTTGCTTTGGATTTAGCAGGGCTGTTAAATTTCACTTCTACATTTAATCGATCTAAAGGAATACTTTGCCTAATAATCATTTTGACCTAAAAACATGCATCTTTACTCAAGTTTGAGCTTATGTGCACAAGGCTTCATTTACATTTGAGGATCACAGTTTGGGGGGAATCCTTGATAAGAAACCGAGTCAATTGACTGTAATTATTTTTGCACGAGAGTCCTTGTACTTGACTCAAGTGAGAGGGTTTGCAAAAGTCCTCTCGTTTTGACCATGTGTATGTACTGAATGGTGTCACTTTGTAGCTCATTGGGCAGTAATGTAATACCGACTCAAAATTTTCATTCAGTTATATACACTGCAATCCTTTTTATCACAAATGTCTTTTGCCATATGTATATGACAGGCAAAACATATCGCCTACGAGTACACAACGTTGGTGTTTCAACTAGCTTGAATTTCAGAATTCAAAATCATAACCTTCTTCTTGTGGAGACTGAAGGTTCATACACAGTACAACAGAACTACACAAGCTTGGATATCCACGTCGGTCAGTCGTACTCATTCCTGGTCACAATGGATCAAAATGCAAGTAGTGATTATTACATTGTTGCGAGTCCACGTTTTGTTAATTCCTCCGGTTGGTCGAAGTCGGTAGGAGTTGCTGTCTTGCATTACTCAAATTCACAAGGACCTGCTTCAGGCCCTCTTCCAGACCCTCCTAATGAATCTGACACATTTTTCTCAATGAGTCAAGCGAGATCCATAAGGTTGTAGAGTTTAGTAGTTATTCTTTGTTAAATTATGTGATCTCCCCAAGTTAATTGTGTGCATCATTACTTATCAAAAATGTGTATCATCTGCTACTATTTAATTTGTCAACTTGTGTTACTGAAAGTAGAGATAAAACCATATTTTGTCCCCTCTACCCTCCTACCCCCTAAAGTATAAAAAAGATAAAGAAATATGTTAGCTTTAATGTCAGAAGGAAGGTTGTGTAATCTTGATCACTATGTAGCCATATCTGCTCTTTGCTCTACTTTAAGATTTTAAGTGTGAGGTTCTCGATTTTCAAGCATCTGTTGCTAACTTTTATTGTATTAATCAATCTGCAGATGGAATGTTTCTGCTAGTGCTGCACGGCCAAACCCCCAAGGATCCTTCAGATATGGCGAAATCACAGTGACTGATGTCTTTGTCCTTCATAATAGACCTGCAGAGCTAATAGAGGGGAAGCGGCGCACTACTCTCAGTGGTATTTCATACTTAGCACCATCAACACCTCTAAAACTTGCTCAGCAATTTAACGTCCCAGGTGTTTTCAAGCTGGACTTCCCCAATAAAATGATGAACAGGCCAGCAAAAGTTGATACGTCCGTAATTAATGGTACTTACAAAGCATTTGTGGAAATCATATTCCAAAACAATGATACAACTGTTCAGAGCTATCATCTGGACGGCTATGCCTTTTTTGTTGTCGGGTGAGTAGTTATTTTCATACGGCTGCTCTTTATCGCTAGTTTTCAGTTTGGAATCAGATATTTTAACTTTTTGTTCTCAAAAATGACAATAGTATGGACTATGGGCTTTGGACAGAGAATAGTAGAAGCACCTACAACAAATGGGATGGTGTTGCTCGATGCACTACCCAGGTAAAAATTCTGTCTACTTTCTTCTCGGGGCTCGTATAACATCTCGTTGAACAGATATTGCTCAAATAGGTCCACTGTTCCAATTAATATGTCACCCATAAATATTTTCATAATGATTTATCCCAAGATGCTAATTGCTCCTAAGCATGCGAAGATGAAAATACTTTTGTCCTTTTAGAGTCAAAAGTAAGTATTGGTCGCAACTCATTGTCTTCCAGTCATACTAGGTAAAAATTTCTGCCAGTAATTTGTGAAAATTATTCATTTATAAACAAAAGGATATTTTTCTCTCTTACAGGTGTTTCCAGGTGCTTGGACTGCCATTTTAGTCTTCCTAGACAATGACGGCATTTGGAATTTACGTGCTCAAAACCTCGACTCGTGGTACCTTGGCCAAGAAACTTATATTAGTGTTGTGAATCCAGAGACCACAGATAAAAATGATGTTCCACTTCCAGCAAACGTTATCTATTGTGGTGCACTGTCACCTTTACAGAAGTAAGTTATCTCCTCCTATTGCTACACTTCTTATTATACCCTAGCCAGTTTTTTTCCTCAGTTTCTTTCCTCGAAACAGAGGCGAATCCAGGATTTAAACTTTATGGGTTCAGCCTTTAAATATTTTAGCATTGAACTCATTATATTTTTTGAGTATTTCAGAACAGAGTGAATGTTAGTTGTCTGTTGTAGTTATTAAGCACTCATAAACCTCTCACTTTTGCAGGGACCAAGCTCACAGAGTAAATTTCTCTGGTGCACCATCGTTCAGTAAACCAATCAAATTGATATTTGTAGCATTTGTTCTAGCTATAATTGGAAGTTTTATGAGGTAGCAAATTCAAGTAAAAAGGCATCAGAAAAGCATGGTAGTTGGAAAATGCCACTGAATTACTCTTTGGGCTAGCTGGGTTTTTTTTTTTTGGCTTGTACTAATATGTAATTAGTTGAACCCTATATTTAGGTATCTCCACTTCAACTGTGAATTAATTTTTTGTATTCTTGTATGGTTTAACTATAGTCAAAATTCTTGGCATCTTAGACATGAGATGAGACGCATGTCTTTTTATTTATATTTTAAAAAAATGTGGGAAGGGCAAAGGGGATAGCGGAAGTAGAATCCACACCACACATGAGTGTAGTAAACTTCTATGATGCCATTGAACTGAATGCTCGGATGCATGTTTTCACATTTGAACGAACACATTGATCAATGGAGAAACAATTTGAGTTATTGGGACTGATAAAAGATATAGGAGTACATCAAAATTTGATTTGTTTTAATAAAGTTGTAGCCCTGTGTATTCTATTCAAAATAAGCCAAGTGAGTCCACGTGGTAAATCGGAGCAGCTTAAGAAATCAGATTTAAGGAGATTCCAGAAAATGTAAAACATCATCATAGCTAAAAAATAAACCCATGTCAAGGGGAATTCATTGATATACAAAGTATTGTGTTTTTACCCTTTGTTGTACAGTGCAACTTTTCAGCCAAGAAATTCAATCGGACCTCTTTCACTAAATGTAGCCTGTCACTGCTTATCTCCAGGGTAATGCACGAAAGCAACCATAATTATTTATAAACATTAGTCATTGCAAGTAATGTTTTGGAGTTTGCCGAATAAGTTTGAAGCACCATAGTTATTAGTGATTTCTCTTGGGTTGTCTAACATAAAAGTAGATTCAAGACTCTTCAACATTTATCAATAAAAGCTTCGTTGGACGTCATGAGAACCTACTTGCCAAATCCCACTTTTTTCCCCTCTTTTCCATATCCTACTCTTCCTGAAAAAAGCACCTCCAAAATTTGGGAGAAATTCAAAAATAGCCAGATTTATAACTGGTCGTTCGAAAATAGCCCAGTTTCAAAAGTAATCGAAATTTAGCCACTTTTCATGTAAAGATAAATCTGAGAGAAAACACTGTTCAAAACCCGAAAAATACGCCAGTATATTATGCTGGAGTTCCAGCATAAGTCTACTTGAACTCCAGCATATTATATTGGAGTTCCAGGATAAATATGCTGGAACTCCAGCATAATATGATGGAGTTCCAGCATAAGTACACTAGAACTCCAGCATAATATGATGGAGTTCCAGCATAAGTACACTAGAACTCCAGCATAATATACTGGAGTTTGGAGCGTCGATGCTCCAGTCTCCAATATATTATACTGGAGCCAGCAAAGTATACCGGTCCAGCATAATATGCTGGAGTTCATACACAGGTGCACCGAACTCCAGTATATTAAACTGGACCGGTCTCTGTTGCAGCAAAATAGTGGCTATTTTTCATTGACTTAGTAAACGCTGGCTATTTTTGAATGACCAGTCCGAAAACTGGCTATACCGTGCTATTTTTACCCAAATTTGATTTTTGATTTTAATATCGATTAGTGTTTGGCTAGCTTAATTGCCATGCCCCAACCTAGGGAGGCGTAGCTGGCCCCCGGTGTAGTACTGGCCCGAACGAACCACTCTGTAACTCATGATCGTTCGACGAACACTAGAACATACATAGGTCGACTTAGCTAAACTCATTCTTTTTTGTAACTATCATGGGCCAACATGGCCACAACTCGTAATGTATAACTATAAGTGGGCAAAAGTTGTATCAGCAAACCATCGTACTCAAAACATGAATACACACGGGCCGTCAAGGCTTATGATATGTTATTCATAATGAACTTGTGTCTACAAAGCCTCTAAGAGTATCTGACATCGAAACATGGTCGGGACAGGTCCCCAGCCTACCCTAAGTCTGTAGCAAAACTCTGACACGATGACTTGTAGACACGGCTGCACTCCAAATGAAGTGGAGCCTTACTAACCGTTCGTTAAATGTTAACCTCATCTACTATAAAGGCTCGTCAAACTGATTACCTACACCTGCATGCATGAATGCAGCGTCCACAATAAAAAGGACGTCAGTAGAATAGTGTACCGAGTACATAAGGCAGAGCTCAAACATAACAATAAGCAAACATCAATGAGAGAGATATAAGAATAAGCCTAAACCTCTGAAGTGCCACTGAGGGCCATGATATGCATACTAATTATACTTACATATCTAATGCCTCTCTTTGGGACTATTATCCATATCCTAACTTGGTTGCCCAACTGACCAATGGTAACTGCCCGACCAGCCGTAGCTCAATGATAAATACGTGTCTTTCGAACCGGTGGTAAATAACGATACTTAACTGCCCAATCGGTGGTAACAGCGTGATCGGCCGTAGCTCGGCGGTAAATACATAACTGCCCAACCGGTCGTAGCTTAGTGGTAAATGCATTACTACCCGACCGGTCGTAGCTCGGTGGTAAATTCATGAAGAGCCTTTTAGGATCATTAGGACATCTTTATCCTATGCCTCGATAGGGACTTAGGAACATATCTAGACGTGTTTTGGATTACATTTCATAAGAATGGATAACATAGATATCCTTAACTACTAAGATATAACCATTTATGGAATAACATTACATTTAAGTCTCATTATATGGATCATGCCAAAAGAAAGAAGGATTAGCCTTAACATACCTTTGTTGATAACGACTCAATATACATTGCTCGTAGTACTTCAACCTACATCAAGGTATTAGAACTATGGTTAATACCATAAAAGAACTCAAAACACATTTTTAAGAACACTTCCCCTATATTTTCTCACCTCTCCAAATACAAAATAGCACCAAACAACAACATAAACAATATCAACAACTAATCATATCCATTCATCCCCTCAACAACGTAAGAACAATTCCTACAATTCAAACAATAGTACAACGAGCGGCAAGCTAGGTTTGTGATTAACCACTATAGTTTTTAACTCCTTCCTTCCAGAATTTATCAACAACATTAACTGCCACATATTCAATTATCCCTATAAATGTTCAGCCACAATACAACTTTAAGAGGATCACATAACAGTCTCACAAGTTTAGCAACTCAAAACTAATTTTTCAGATTATTAAAACACGTTTCTGACTTGTCTTTTCTTTCAAATCGAGCAACACAACCAACAATACATAATAAAGCCTCTTCTCATATAAATCAGCCATGAATTCAACTTAAAAATAAGTTCATATCAGCCAACAGTGACATAACAACAAATAACATACTACTCTTTTGAAACTCGCAAGTTTTAGTCTTTATGATCGAGCTACAACTCGTAGAAGTTTAGATAAGAGAAACATAAACTTACCTTGGACTGAGTAGAACCTACGAAACCTAGTACCTCTTCATCTAAAATCAGTCCCCAAATGCAGCTACAAGAAGGAGAAAGGGAAACTAGCAAGATGTCCGGGTTTTTCGGTACTAGAATTACTTCGTATCACTCGAAATCACCTAGGGTTTGTGTGGGATTTTGGGGGGGGGGGGGGAGTTGCAGGGATTTTTGCCCTAGGTTTTTCTTAGGAGATTATGTTTAAAATGTGAGAGAATCAGTCCAGGGCCCCTCGGCCGCCCTCAATCTGCCCCTTTTGGGGGATTTATTCGGTCCCTTCATTTAACTAAGTAGGTGACGCACCTACCAGTTTGTTTAGTCTCACAAAATGTGAATATCTATCTACTACGATGTTGTATTGAAAAATTCTTTAGCGAGTTAGAAACTTTACTCGTAGACCTTCAATTTAGTGGGTGGATCACCTCGTAACTCCAATTATATTGGGATAAAAGCTCATTGATATTAGACAAAAATTTCAGTAAAATTTATGAACGTAACTTGTGACGACTTTCGTCGACTTTTGTTTCGTAACTCGCTTGACTTCAAAACATAACACTCGACTATCATACGACTAAAATACCTCATAAAATCACCTTTTTATCATGTTAAGCACCCAAGTCTCACCCAAAGTATGGGTTATAACATTCCCAACTTGCTGACTTTCAGTAAAACTTATTTTCTTCGATTCGTTTAGCTTCTAAACCTTCCAACCTTCTTGGTACTTACTAATCATGATCTTAAATATTTGTACCTCCAAGGTAACATTATTAACTTACTTTATATACTTTAAAAGAGGGTCTCATTTTCTAGCTTACATCAATTGACTTACAACATACTTTTACGTACGAAAACATGGGGTGTAACATCATTTCCCCCTTAGAACATTTATCCTCGAATGTTGGTTGATGCTCTTATCAGTCTCATAACCTAAAACTCTTACAAATACTTTAATATTATCCTTGACATCCAGGCAATTGTTCTATGAATTAATCCAAAGGTCAGAGCATTCCCCCCTTTAGGCCTCTTTCTCACACCACGACCTGTGGTCGTAATTCTTCCAATCTCGTAATTGTTGCTATCTTCTGTCATGCAGCCTATACGACTATGTCCTTGCATGCACGCCTAAACGACTCTTATCTCCCTTTTCCTCCATCTTTTAGCCAATCTTTAGGCCTCACTTGTGAACATATACAAAACTATGACAAGCCTTTCCTCTAGGCATCGGTAGGTATACTGAAATTCTTTGTTTGGTACTTTGTCGAATTTACGACTATCGTTGTATTCTGTTTCATAGCCTCAGAATTTTTATCCATCGATTGTTGATTCACCTTAATGTTGATCTATAATCCACTAGTGATAACTTGAAACTTTTTACTTAATACATTTTCACTAGGGCTCATGTCTCGTCGGCTAGCATCTGAATTTATTTTCTTGATCCATCATAGGGATGATTATATACTTAAATAACTATATTTCATAGCATCTCAACGTGATTCATCTTATGGGAGGTATTCTAATCCAGTGCAATTCATAAAATCCCTTCTCGTTGAATCATTACTTCAATTCAAGGCTATATTCCTAAAAATCATCCTCTTACCGTTTATCACACTCACACTCCTATTCTACTACCAGGGTAGCATTCCATCTCTTCTAAATGCTCTTAGTCATAAACTCTTTCAAGTACGTTCAAGCTATACTAAGCTTTCTATAACTTACGAATATCATCTGCTCTCTCATTTTGATGGGCTTAATTCGAGGTCTTACCTATTCTCGTCACCTTCTTACTCACCTTTTCTTATCCTTACTCCTGTCTATCTAAAACCTT